GTATACGGTTTATTGAGTTTGGTCGAAAATTCACCGAGATACGGTTTTTTTTGTAAAACGTTGGCCCAGCTTTGCGCCTTTAAAGTTTGAATTCGGCGCCAAAACTGAATTTTCAAAAAATTTATACTTTACACTTTATACTCATTTTGAAGCTCTTTTCAAGTCAAATCGATTGGTATAGTTTTCATCAAGTTTGATACAAAAATGACTGAGTTACAGTAGTTCTTAGGATTTCACTGAAGTTTTGGATTTTGGAATTTTTCAAATCTCGGTAAATTTGAAGCTTTTACTGGCAAAAATTCAGGAATTCTATTTTTATTTTCAATTGAAAAATTATTCTGGGCAAAAAATAAAAAGGTTAAACAACATTTTCGACCAAATTTGAGAGACGCAGAGAAGCGAGAGCGTCTCGATTCTCTGCGTCTCTTCTATGTCGGTGGATGAGGTGCACCAACTTTAAAAGCGCATATCTCACGATAGTAAAGCTATCAAAAAACGACCATCTACAAAATCGTGTAAAATTTTAGGCTCTACAAAATTGTAGTTAACTGTTTTTTGATAGCTAACTTGGTTTTTGAGATATGCGCCTTTAAAGTTGCCGCGCGCTTTAGGCAGCGGTCAGTCTCGCTTAAAAGGTACCTCAACTTTAAAGGCACATATCTCAAAAACTAAATGAGCTATCAAAAAATTGTCAACTAATAAATTGTAGCAAATTTTATGTTTTCTATTTTTTAAGTTGATCGTTTTTTAGTAACAATCTTCGTTTTCGAGATATGCGCCTTTAAAGACAGAGCCTTCATGTGTCCATAGCGGCACATACCTAACTACGAAAAAACCATTTTCAAAATTTATGCTAAACCTTTAAAATTGAAAATAAGTACACATGAACTTTCAAAAAACCAACTACTACAGTACATTTCCTTTTCCTTTTCCAATTTTCTCCCTTCCCAATATTTTTATTACCCCCTCTTTTTTGCTTTTTCCTGTGCTCCCCCAGCCAAATTAAGTTCTTCTTTTTTTTCGCTGAATAAGAAAAAAAGGAAAAAAGAAGAAGAAGAAGCCCTTCTTCTTCTTCTTCTTCTTCTTCTTCTTCTCCTAATCTGGTCCTTCTTCTTTTTCCCCTGCGCGCGCGGTCCTAATCGTTTTGGCCGCCCGAAAATGATGGGAAATATTTTATGAGGTCCTTTCTGGAGAAGAAGGTAAAAGAAGGAGAAGAAAAACAATTTCGGATTGACTTTATTCGAATGAAAAAGAAGACGAAGAAGAAGCTGAAGGTTCATCCAAAATAGGAGTCATGGGAAGCGAATAAACCCTTTTGCCCAAAAAAAAACGCCCACGGCTTCTTCTTCTTCTTCTTTTTCTTCTTCTTCTTATCGTTTTGCTTTTTGGAACTATCTCAAAATTTGTTTGATATTTCTTGACTTTGCTCATTCAATTTTTCTTGAAAAAAAGCTCAAAATTGCCAAAAATTCAAAAAATCACAATAGTCAAAAACCCAAACAACCTCAAAATAAGATTTCAAAATGTCCTAAACATTCTGAAATCTAGTTTTTGAATTCCTCTTGTCGAGAGCTTTCAAATGAGTATAACCATGACCATATTCCGCCTTTAAAGCCGGAATTTGGCGCCAAAATCGATATCTAGCAAACCTAGTCTTGTTTATACTTATTTTGAAGCTCTTTTCAAGGAAAACTCAAAAATATAGGTTTGATCGTGTTTGAACGAAAACTAACCATGTTACAGTCATTTTTGTGAAACCTGAGTAATTTGAATTTGGAGCCAAAGATGAAAATATGACAAACTGACTTGTTTATACTCATTTCAAAGCTCACAACAAGACAAATCGATTGTTATAAATTTCATGTGATTTGGTCGAAAACTAAGCGAGTTATGACCCATTTAGTATCCCCAAGCCAAAAATGAAAATTTTTCAATTCTAACTAAATTTATATTTATTTTGAAGCATTTAAAACGATATTTCTATCAGCATACTTTTCATGAAATTTGGACTCAAACTGTTTGAGTTATGCTTGTTTTTTTTGCCGCGGGCGAGAGGCGCAGAGAGGCTAGACACCCCTGCTTCTTTGCGTCTCTTCGTCTCTTGGCGCGCGTTCTTCTTGTTGCAACTTTAAAGGCGCATATCTCAAAAACTAAGTTTGCTATCAAAAAAGTGTCAACAAACAAAATGTGTAAAATTGTATGCTCTATATTTTTGTAATTGACAGTTTTAAGCTAGCTTTTTTGGTTTTTGAGATATAGCCAAAAATAAAATGTGATTTGGAATTTTTTTTTTCAAAAATTCAAACTTCTCTTCTTCTATTTTTGGAATATGACCTCTTTTCCATTTCCCAGGATGTATCCATTTTCATCTCCCCCTACCCATGGGGTCTACTTGTTGAGTTAAAAAAATAGTCTTCTTCTTTTCTTCTTCTTCTTCTTCTCCAAAAATTCCTCTTCCTCTTCTTCTCCAGAGAAGAAGAAATCTCTGGAGAATTGTTTAAAAAAAGAAAAAGAAGACTGGGAGAGACTCAATGCCAACCAGCTGAAACTGCTCATCATAACCAAACGGCAACTCTTAGTTTCTTTGTTTTTCCCTCTTCTTCTTTTTTAACTTTTTTACTCTCCTTTGATTCTTCCTAGAAAATCCTTCTTCTTCTTCTTTTTTATGATTTCTAGAAGAACTTTCTCTCCACATGCCGCCAATTTTTTGACGCACGTACTTGATTACACTTGCGTCACGATTTTTAACCTGGAAATGTTTTCAGAGAAATTTTGAATTTCGCTAAAAATGATAAGAAAAAGAAGAAGAAGAAAAGACACAAAAAGAAAAGAGAATTACTATTTAAAGAAGGCCAGACACTAATGTAATGTTTGTACTCCGCCTTTTCGGAAAAAGTGTTCCCCCCAAATTTGCTTTTAGTGCTCTTTTCTTGATTTTTACACTTCATTTTTTTGTTTTTAACCTTAAAAATAGCTTTTAAATTGTCTTTTTTACCTAGAAAATAGAGAAACGAGACACTCTTGCTTCTCTGCGCCTCCTCCTTTTCCACAGTCTCTCTATGCGCCTTGTGGAGGGTTCCCGAACTTTAAAGGCGCATATCTCGGAAACTAGAATGGCTATCAAAAAGTTGTCAATTAGTAAATTGTGTAAAATTTTATAAACTACATTTTTATAATTTTTACCTTTTTGATAGCGTTTTTGGTTCCGGAGATATGCGTCTTTAAATATAGCGTATCGCTGCGTCGTCTCTTCCTGTGCGCAGAGGTACGTCTTGTTCAAAGGCGCATATCTCGAGATAGGCAAAAGCTATCAAAAAGTTGTAAATTGTTAAATTGTGTAAAATTGTATGCTCTACATGCTTGCAGTTTGCAATATTTTGATAGCTTTTTGCGTTCTTGAGATATGCGTCTTCAAATTTAGCTAGTAGTACAATTCGTCTTTTATATTTGAATTTGGCGCCAGAACTGAATTTTCAAAAAATTCGAACCTAGTTGTGTTTATGCTTATTTTGAAGCTCTTTTTTAGACAAATTGATTGCTATGATTTTGTAAAATTTGGTTAAAAATTGGGAGAGATACGGTCGTTTTTGAGACACTTGAGCAAATTCTCTTTAAAATTTGAATTTGGCGGCAAAAACGAATTTTCAAAAAAATCTAACTTAGTCGTGCTTATACTCATTTTAAAGCCCATTCCAAGACAAATTGATTGGTATAATTTTCATATATTTTGATGCAAAACTAACCGAGTTAGAGCTCTTTTTGTGCAAGAATCATGATTTTAAATTTCAATCTTCCTACAGTTTCTACTCATTTTGAAGCTCTCAATTAGACAAATCTGATACTATAAAATTCGTGAAAATTAAACTAAATCTGTTCAAATTATTACGAGGTTTGCAAGCAGGCAAGAGGCGCAGAGAAGCTAGACATCCCTGCTTGTCTGCGTCTCTTCGCGCTCTCTTGGCGCCTTAACTTTAAAGGGACATATCTCAAAAACTATAACAGCTATCAAAAAGTTGTTAACAGCACAAATGTGTAAAATTTTATGCTCTACATTTTTGCAATTGACAATTTTTTGACAGCTATTTTATTTTTTGAGATACAGCCTGATTTATAAAAGTGCCTTAGAATTTTAGATCTAGGCTCTGTTCAACAGCTGTTTGATGGGATCTAGTCCGGATGACGTGGATTCTTCAGACACCCACATGTTCTAGTTTTTCTCCTTAAGTATCTTCTACCTCTCAATTTCGATTACCCCTTCTTCTTCTTCTCCAATTTTTTATTCTTGTTCCGCGCAATTTCCAATATATATCCCATCTCCTAGCCTCGTCCTTTTCTCCACCCGAAATTCAACCTTATCTACTCTACTTTTTCTTCTTCTTCTTTTAATACTCCTACGTCTTCTTCTTCTTCTTCTTCTTCTTCTTCTCCTTATTTTCCTTCTTTCCATGGCCATTCGCCGTGGTTCAACCTTTTTTCCATCCCCATTCCCCATTCGTGTCCCATCGTTTACTTCTTGCGACGTCATCTACGGTCTCCAAGTAGTGGAAAAACGTCTTCTTCTTTTTGGAGAAGAAAAAGAAGAAGAAGTTTCCGTCTTGAAAAAAAAAGAAAAAAATGCGATTTTCTGCATATATTCAAAGAGAGAGCACACACTTTTCTGTCTTTTTTTCACACGAAGAGTTATCTTCTAACTCTTCTTCTTTTCTTTTTTTTCCATTCCTTCTTCTTCTTTTCCAAAAAAATTTTCCTTTTTTTGATTTTGCCCTGAAGGTGACAGTTCCCTCCAGCGCGCGCCCACTCCTTTACACCTTTCAATACGCCCATGGCAACCACAGTGCTCAAGTGCGCGCGTGGTATAGTGGTTAGTGGTGGTGTCTATCAGGCGGGAGGTCGGTGGTTCGATTCCTCGGGTCGGTTAGCTTGTTTTGTAACGTTTATTCGTCTTCTGGTCCTTCGTCTCTATCTCTGTTATCCATTTTTTCGTGTTTTTTCTTGTAGAAATGGAAGAAAAAACGGTAACAGTGTGTGGTGAAATGGTGCGTTCTCTGGATGCCAACGGAAAAGAAATGGTGATTCGGAGAGAAGTTTCTGTGACGGAGAGCCGAGAATCAATGGATTTGTCGAGTCTAAAAGTGGAAATTCATAATTCTGAAGATTCGGAAAAACCATCGATGACGTCTGTGGAGAGCATTGAACTCCCATCCAAGGACTGTAAGTGACATTGTGATCGTCTATTTTTCTTATCTTTTTCTTTTTGGTGTTTCTAATATTTCTGTGCGTCATACTAATTTTTTGGCTCTGCTCAGCACTATTTACTAGACTATATTACAAAAAAAAAGGGGTCTCGAATTTCACGAGTTTCTTTGAAAATGAATCATCATTCTGAGCAAATAGTGCAAAACCTGTTTTTATGTGTTTTTTTAACACGAAAATTGCAGAAAAATCACTTTATTAACAACAAAAATCATCAAAATAGCAAAAAAAAATCACCAAAAATTGATAAAAAACTACAAAAATTAAGGCGCAGAGCCGCAAATTGTCTGTTGGGTCTCGCCACGAAAAGGATTGTTTTTTCGAATTTTTTGAAAAAAATTGGTTTTTTTTCTGAATAATTTAGATGAAAGCAAATTTTTAAATGAAATTTTTATTTAACATTGAAAATCATTAAAAAAATAACAAGAAATCGCCTAAAAACCGAAAAAAATTGGACAAAAATCCGATTTTTCAAAAAAAATTACAAAAATTAAGGCGCACAGACCAAATTTGTTTCTTGGGTCTCGCCACGAAAACTTGTTTTTTTGAATTTTTTGAGTTTTTTTTTTGAATTTTTAAATGATTTTTTGGTTTTCAATTGTTTTTAATGGTAAAAAGCTTTATTTACAATACAAAATAATCCAAAACAATCAAAAAATCGCTCAAAATCCAAATAAATAAAAAAAAGGATTTTTTCAAAAAAAAAAATTATTGTCTGTTGAGTCTCTTGAGTCTCGACACGAAAACCCAAATTTTTAAATTTCTCAGCAATTTTTAATGATTTTTTGCTGAAATTAGTATATTGAATGAATAAAAAGCTTTATTACCGATAAAATCATAAAAAAAATAGCAAAAAATTGGTCGAAAACCAAGAGAATAGAGAAAAAAAAGGATTTTTTTGAAAAATTACAAAAGTTAAGGCGCACAGCCGCAAATTATTTATCGGGTTTCGCCACGAAAATCGAAAATTTGAGTTTTTCGGAATTTTAGAATTTTATTAGTTTTTTCGCCAAAAATGTCGTTTTCCTGTCAATTTTGTGATTTTTTTTTCCCAATTTTTCACCACAAAATTCGCTACTTTTCACACTTTTCTGTAGTCAGTCTCTCGTTGATCTTCTCCTTTTTCTCTCAAATAAATACGAAAAAAGTGTATAAAATGTTGCCAAAAACCGCACCATCGATGGCTCCACTAATCCCTTTCACTTCCAAAACCACCACCTCATCTTCTCGCGTTTTTTTCCCGAAACAGATTATTTTTTCCCTATTTTTTCTGTGTTGTAGAAGACGACGAATTTGATCTCTATCTCTTCAGAAGACGGTGTTTTCAAAGATTTGTATCTTTTATTTGTCTTGTGTTCCAAATTTTGTGTACCTCTGCGTCTCTCATCACTCTCTGATCTCTCGTTTTTGCTGGACAAGCAGAAGAAATTGGTATATTCTGACCTCAAACGGTCCGAATTTTTTTGGGGAATTGACGTCATTCGCCGGGGGGGGGGGGGGGGCAACACAGCCAAAAGAAACTGTTTGTCCAGCAGCCAGCCAATACAACAGCAATTCT